GGGTTTGGGTTTTGGGGTTTGGACATAGGGTTCGGGGTCTAGGGTTCAGGGTTCAGGGCTTGGGGTTGGGGTTTCCGGGTTTGGGGTTTGGGGTTTGTGCTTCAGGGGTTTTCAGGCTGTTCGGCCCGTGGATTTTAATCTAAGACCTGCGGCGGGTCGAAACTGAGGCTTCCATTCTTTCATGAGTCCTCCCGATACGATGACAGCAGCACTTAAGACAAAAGACTCCTGAGACGGTAATTCTCAAGAGAACAACCCATATGGGGTCCCATACCTAGGGTTTGTTCAGAGTGTCTCGCCATAAACTTGCAACCGCACTAGAGCTTAACCCCACCCCCCCCCCCCCCCCCCCGTAAAAGATGGACACTTAGAGGCTATGCTGCACATATGCCTTGTAAACAAATACTTTAGAAGGAAACGCCCGCAGAATCGACGCAGCACACCCGCGAATGTTACGCTCCCCGTCCGCGCTCCCCCCTCATTGTCCTCGCCCCCCCGAACCCGTCCGTCAAACCGCACATCCATGCATGGTCCACGCTTCCCCACGCCATGCCCCTCCCTGACCGTGTCGTCTCCGTGGCCTCCCGTCAAAATTCATTCTGTCCAACCCTCCTCCGTTGACCGTCTCCTCTTCGTGGCCTCCTTCGCCAGAAAGCGATCCGATAGAACGCCTTCCGCGTTGAAACGCCAAACGAGAACCAACTCCCAGAGAGGTTTGCGGGAAGAATCCAACAAAACGCGTCCAAGGCACCGCCCCCTCCCCCAACCGCCCCAACCCCCCCACCCTAAACTCTTCATCCTAAACCCTAAACCCTAAACTCCAAAACCCCAATTAAGGGTTTTTAGGGTCACGTGTCGCGCCCGAAATTCCGCGAACCGGGTCCTGCACCACCTGCCCCTGCACGGGCTGCTGGTTGCTCATTGTTGCCAGTACCTGGGTCTAGGGTTTAGGGTTTAGGGTTTAGGGTTCAGGGTTTGAAGCTCCGTTTCCGGCTTTCCCTTGAGGACCGAGTGCCTACTTCCCTTGTACCCTTAGGCTCAAAATAGCCCCAAAACCTTTTTTTAATAAGGTCTCCGGGCCCAAAAACCCTTTAAAAAGAGTTCTTGGAGCCTTAGGGTTAGGATGGGTTAGGTTAGGGAGGGGAAAGCTGCTTCCGGGATTCTTTGGCGATCTCAGCAGGTTCGGGATTCTTCAGGCAGGGGTTTGGGTTGTAGGGCTTAAGGGGGCTCCATCTCTGATTTAGAATGTTCCCTCTGAATGGGAGCCCTAAACCCCAAACCCCAAACCCCAAACCCTAAACCCCAAACCCCAAACCCTAAACCCCAAACCCCAAACCCCAAACCCCAAACCCTAACCCCCAAGCCCTAAACCCCAAACCCTAAACCCCAAACCCCAAGCCCTAAACCCCAAACCCCAAACCCTAAACCCTAAACCCCAAACCCCAAACCCCAAACCCCAAACCCCAAACCCCAAACCCTAAACCCTAAACATCATTGCTGCAAGAAGGGAGAAGAAAGAAACCTGGGCTCGAGGACTTCGGGGGCTTTGATGCCATTGATGCCACCGGAGACTGCCACCCGACCCCAGTGAACCATTTGGGGTTTAGGGTTTAGGGTTTAGGGTTTAGGGTTTAGGGTTAAGTTTAGGACCCACAAAGCCGCAAAGCCAAGACAAAGTTGAAAGGTCGACGTTCTTCGGCGGGGTACGGATGTGAATGACCCTTCAGATTTCTTACGCCTGCTGCTTTTCATACACTTTAGCTGCATGCAGATTTGATAGTGGGCGATCCTAAGTTAGGACCCAAAACCCTAAACCCTAAATCCCAACCCTGAACCACAAATCCTAAAACCCTAAACCCTGAACCCCAAATCCCAAACCCTAAACCCCAAATCCCTAAACCCCAAATCCCAAGACCCCAAACCCTGAACCCTAAACCCCAAACCCTAAACCCTAAACCCCAAACCCCAAACCGTAAACCCCAAGCCCTAAACCCTAAACCCCAAACCCTAAAGCCCTAACCCCTAAACCCCAAACCCCAAACCCTAAACCCTAAACCCTCAACCCTAAACCCTAAGCCCCTAAGCCCTGAACCCCAAGCCCTGCCAAAACCTCCTTCGGAACCCAGCTGCGCTCTGGGCCGAGGCCAAAAGCCACAAGAGGTCAAAAGTCAACACTTCATGGCCGAAACAGCTGCGCAGGGGTTAGGGTTTGGGGTTTAGGGTTTGGGGTTTGGGGTTTAGGGTTTAGGGTTTAGGGTTGAGGCTAAGGCGGCCAGCTTCGTAAAAGTCGAACCCGCGCTCGAATCCCTTAGCCTAAGCCCAACATTCCCACTGCCGCCCCAGTCCCAAGACCTTCAGCTAATTCCCTGGTGGACCCTGGGGGGTTTAGGAAGCCTAAGCCCTAAACCTTAAACCCCGAAAGTTTAGGGTTTAGGGTTTAGGGTTTAGGGTTTAGGGTTTAGGGTTTAGGGTTTAGGGGAAACCCACCAACCCCCCCCCACCCCCTTGTTTTTTTTTGCTTTCTCAGTTCCCTGCCTCGCTTTCGGAGCAGGGAGTCGCACTGCTGAGCAGATGACCCCCGTGCAGTCAACAGGGTGTAGGGGAGCTTGCACGCTGCTCACCCTGCTTTTCTTCTTCTAGACCCGGGGGTTTAGGGTTCTAGGGTTTTTGGGTTTAGGGTTTAGGGTTTAGGGCAATAACAAGGATACCCTTTTTGGGTTTTAAGGGGGCTTTAAGGGAACCCCAACCGTAACAAAAGGAAAAAGGGCCTACTCCCGGTCCTAGTCTTACTACCCTGCTTGTTCTTTTTACTACCCTGTTTTTTTGCTAAGCCCTAAGCCCTATAACCCTAGAAACCCTGAAGTTCACACCTTACACCAGCTTACCGTATAGCCCTATAGCCCTATAGCCCTGTAATCCTAAACACCAAACCTGAACCGAAAACCCAAAAGCCTGTATGAACCCTAAACCCTAAACCCTAAACCCTAAACCCTAAACCCCAAACCCTAAACCCTAAAGCCTTTATGAACTCTAGGGTTGAGGGTTCCGAGGGGGCGGGCTTCACCGGCACAGACTGTTGGGGTCTATGGCGCACCCGAAACCCTACCCTTGATACTTCCAGCTGCTTGCAAAACCTGGGTTTTAGGATGTAGGGTTTAGGGTGGTTCTTAAGCTCCAAGTCCTTTAACAACGGGCTCTTCAGGCCCGACTTGACTTGGAGGCTCTGTTGACGTAGTAAGTCTACTTCGTATCCCCTAGAAACCCTCTTAGAATCCCCATAACCCACCTCACAAACTAGTAGTCACCTAGTGGACTCTTGGGAGGTTTAAGGACATAGCTCCATCTGAGCAGGGGGCTGCGCTCAAGCAACGTGATTGTGCTTGGCGTGTGATGCCTCCACCAGTCTTGCGGACGCGTGTTGTCATACGCACCTTTGCAGTATCATAAACGCGGAGATGTAGGGTGGCTGTCTATACCCAAGAGCAACCCTGAAAGAAGAAGGGTACCCTTTTTGGTTTAAAGGAGCGAATAAGGGAACCTAAACCCCCCAAGAAAGGGAATAAGGGCCTACTCTGCTAGTAGCATACTTAACCCGTCTAGGCAGACAACCCCAAACTGACAAAAAGCAGCAGGGCCCTCGGATCACATTAGCTTGACCTCCCTGGCCATGTGCCTGTCAGCGCTAGCCCGGCGTAGTCTCACAGTGTGGGATTGAGGTTTGAGATGTACCTTCGGAGCCCAACATAAACCCTAAACGCTAAACCCTAAACCCTAGACCCTAGACCCTAAACCTAATTCCTAAACCCTAAACCCTACCTCTGTTGAAGGGTTTTTATACCAAGAACCTACAGAAAAGTAGGCTTCGGGGTTTTTAGGCAGAAGTTTAAGGGTTCAGGGATTCAGTGGTTCAGGAGCTAGGGTTTACTTGGAGGTTCATGGTACTTACTAGCCAAATTCTAGCTGTACTTATGATAACCCACATATGAGCCACTTAAGTGCCCTAATACGGCAAACAGCACAGTTATCATGGAACCTCCAAGTAGGGCTCAGGGTCTTATGAGGTCTGGGGGCCAGCTCGGGGGTTAGACGCGTTCTTATCTAGCTCGCCAGCTCCACACCCTGAATTGAACCCAAAACCCTAATTAAGCCCTAAGCCCTTAACCCCAAACCCCAAACCCTAAACCCAAGTGTTCAGAGGGCTACAGAAAAGCCTCTGAAAACCCAAAACCCAAAACCCTAAACCCTAATTAGTTGCTAAGTTCGTAAGCCCCCCCCCCATTAAAAAAAGATGTACACTTTCAGTTCTATAGGGGACTGTAGTATAAAGTGCAAAGTGTACTCTCTCAGCTGCTTAGAAACCCTAAACCCTAAAGGTTCTCGCGACTTCAGAACGTGTCAGATCGAACTTTTGCCAGCTGAAAGATATCTTATAGGGTTCAGGGTTGAGGGTAATTATAGGGTTTTGGGCAACTGCGTTTAGGGTTTAGGGTTGAGGGCAATTATAGGGTTTAGGGCAACTATAATACCCAAGTAACCTAGGAATTGACAGGGCGCCCTTTTTGGTTTCCTAAACCCTAAGCCCTCAACCCTAAAACAAGGTCCTATAGTAGAGTCTCTCAAACGCCACAGCAAGGCTTTCTTGGGCTTATGCAGCGTTTCGGGCTGAAGGGTTTAGGGCTCGGGGCTCAGGATTTCTAGGGCTTTCGGGCTTATAGGGCTTGAAAGGGCTTGTGGGGCTTTGGGGCTTTAGGGCTTGCAGGATTTGTAGGGTTTTGGGGCTTTTGGGCTCCAGCAAGAGCTTCAGTGGGCGATTATTAGTTCAGGATCTCGCACAGTCTCTTGTGTCTTTTGTTGGGGGGGGGGGGGTGCTTTTTTTTGGGGGGGAAGGAGTGGGGGGGAGGGGGAGCGGGCGGGGGAGAGGGGCGGGGGGCGGGGGGGCAAGCTGCAGCACAAAGTCAGCCCTGGAGCATGCATGCTGCCTGGACTTGCGGCCGCGGTTCTCAACGGAACGACGAGGAGTATGAGCTGTAGCTGTAGTAGTAGCCGTTCTGACCAGACGAGCTGTGCACCCCTAAGCCCTAAACCCTCCACCCGAAACCTCAACTGCGCAGCAGTTGGTCTTGTAGGAACCCTCAGGGTTTAGGGTTGGGATGTTCCCCCTTATACTAGCAGTCCTTAATAGGGATTATAGTACCCTAAACCCTAAACCCTAAACCCTAGACCCTAAACCCTAAACCCTCAACACCCCTATTATAATCCGACTAAGGACTGTTAGTATAAGGGGGACACATCCCAGGTTTAGGGTTGAGGGCAATCAGCCCTCCAGCCAAGAATGCGCTAGGGCTTAGGGCTTAGGGCTTAGGGCTTAGGGCTTAGGGCTTAGGGTTTAGGGTTTAGGGTTTAGGGTTTAAGGTTTAGGGTTTAGGGTTTAGGGTTTAGGGCTTAGGGCTTAGGGCTTAGGATTTCGAAGCAACTCGGAGGGGCTGCTGGGTTCTTTTGGGATGTTTGATGTTCCCCCCTTAGACTAACCTTAGCTTTGGAGTAGACCCTGGAAAAAAGTATAATATACTTTTTAGGATTTAGGGTTTAGGGTTTAGGGTTTAGGGTTACTTTTTAGGATAAGTAGCTATAATAGGAACCCAGCACCAAAAAAAGTATTAAAGTATAGTACTCCAAGACCCAGTAACAGTCCTGAATAGGGATTATATAGTACCCCCATGATCATCCCAATAAAGAACTGTTTGTAATAAGGTAGGACTACTGCTTTTTTGGTACTTGAAGAATGCAAGAAACAACAAAACACGAACATTCATGTGAAGGACTAGGATGGCCTATGAAACTGTAAAAAACAGCGCAGAACCTCGTTGAACGTTTTCTGAGTAAGGAAGTGCCCTGGCGTGCGCAGACGAAATTTGCCCCGATAGCCCCCCTGCTAGTGAACCCACTCCGCTAAACCCTAAAACATAAACCTGAACCCCAAACCCTGAAACCCTGAACCCTGGATCCTAAACGCCAAACAGAACAGTCCGTAGTACTCGCCGCGGTGAACACAAAGGCCACAAGGACGATGATCAGAACCACCTTGGCGAGCCTTAAAACCTAACAACCCTAAACCCTAACAACCCGAACAACCCCAACAACGCTAACCCGCATAAGCCCTGTCGGGTTAGGGCTCAGGGCTTACGGTTTTTTGGGTTTAGGGTTTTGGGGTTTGGGGTTTTATCGGGTTCAGGGTGCACCTGGGTAGTTTCTTCAGTACAGCATCCTAGAGCCGAACGCCTGAAGCCCTACAAAGCCCTATGAAGCCTATAAAGTCCTAGAAAGCCCTAGAAAGCCCTTTAAAGCTCTATGAAGAGCTACTGTATAGCCCGATACAGCCCTGTGAAGCCCTAACAGTTTAGTTTTAAACCCTAAACCCTAAATCCGAAAGCCTAAGCCCTCAGCCCCAAAAAGCCCTATAGAGCCCTGAATAAGGCCCTGTGCGACCTAGAAAGCCCTGAACGCCCAACCGCCCTAAACCCTAAACCCCAGTCGCCTCCAGGACAAGGGCAATGATGGCGGTCCAGAGCGACGTACAGGCAACTTGTCGCTCCTCTGCCCGTGTGGGTCCATGGTGCTTACGGGCTTATGGCTATGGGTTTGGGGTTTGGGGTTTGGGGCTTAGGGTTTAGGGCTTGGGATTTTTTTTGCAGGGTTTAGGATTTTGGGGACTTAGGGTTTAGGGTTTAGGGCTTAGGGTTTAGCGCCCAGGGTTCAACCAGAGGTTGGCTTTGGGTGGGGGGCTTTGGGAGGTTCAGGGTTCAAGGATGCTCGAAGACAGAGCGCTATGTGGAGGAAGATTCGGGCGGTTGAGCAAGAATTCAAGAACAACCTTTATGCGTGGGTAATCGAGGGGTCGGAATCGTTGCGAAATAGTATTGTCTCATGATCCCTCTTACTAGAAAACCCTTCCAAAAAAAAAAAACGTTCAGGCCCTTGTAATAGTACGCTTCCAACTTCTGGCATGAGAGTACCTGCAACGAGTTGCGGATACTTGTATTCATCAGCGGATGCTCTTCCGGCGTAGTGGACGACGACTTGGGCGCCGTGTGTCTTGCTAGAAACCTCAAATGTCCAAAACCCCAAACTTGCCCTAAACCCTAAACCCTAAACCCTAAAAAAAAAACAAAACCCTTAACCCACTTTACTCTCAGCATGACAGGGCCTAAACAGCTGTCAGGTTTGAACCCGAAGCGCACGCCTGCGGAAGCATCTTTCGCTGCTCCTCAGCCGATCTAGGGAAGGCTTAGGGTTTAGGGTTTAGGATTTAGGGTTTAGGGTCTAGGGTTTAGGGTTTCCGAGCCCAAGGCACCGAGATCGGAAGATGCACAGCAAAGTCTAGGTGGGGGGTTCCAACATGCTAGACCAAGGAAAAGCTTAGGAATACCAGCCTTCTTGACTTAAAGAGCCTTATAAGGGAGCCTAAACCCTAAACCCTGAAGCCTAAACCGCCCTAAACCCTAAACCCTAAGCCCTAAAAAGGTGAAATCAGGGCCTACTCTGGGTCCTAGGCGAGGTGTGTGTATCGGTAGTTTCCAGGGATTAGGGTTCAGGGTTTAGGGTTTAGGGTTTAGGGCTTAGCATACGTAGGATGGTCCCTACTAAGCACACCTGAACTATCTAGGCATCCGTAGGGCGAAGTGTCGGAACCTTCGACAGCAATTGCACTTTTGCCTCTAAACCCTAAACCCTCCGGGAGGCATCATTGAGACCTTGTAAACCCTAAACCCTGAACCGTAAACACTAGACTCACTAGACCTCGAATTTATGGTTGGCGGGTTTGGCCCCTTGAAGGTTCAAGGCTTACTGGTCTGCTGTCGCGGAACCTAAGATATGTGCGTCACAGCATGGATGTAATGTTAACGCGTATACAAAGAGAAAATAGCAGGGTGAGGGTTTAGGGTTTAGGGTTTACGGTTTAGGGTTTCGGGGGGGTTCCATATGTTATGGTAACTTGGGTGTTAAGGTAGTGCACAGCAGTTTCAATTTAGGGATAGATCGGAATCTCTAGGTTCCCAAGGTTTCGGGTTTAGGGTTTGGCAAGCAGTGTATGTGCGTCCCGAGCTAGCAGTACCAGTTCCGAAGGCCATGCGCTGGGTTCGCAGAACGACAGCTGATGTGATAAGTTCTAGTTAGCCTAAACCTAAACTCTAAAGCCTAAGTCCTCATGGTACCACGCCCTTGAAAGGCTTCAGGAGAACTACTGGCCATCCACAAGGGTTTAGGGTTTAGGGTGTTGGGTTTATAAATTTAGGGCTTGGGAACCCTAAAACTCTGCCGCCGGGACGCCTCCGGCTTGCAGAAATGCATGCAGGCAACCGCGAACCAAAAGATTGGTCCAATGGGTCCGAAGCAGCAGCACCTATACAGTGCGGCGCTTGCTAGGGTTTCGGGTTTAGGGTTTAGGGTTCAGGGTTGAAGGTTTAGGGTTTAGGGTTTTAGGGTTTAGGGTTTGGGGTTTAGGGTTAAGGTTTAGGGTTTAGGGTGGAGGGGTAGTCGGGAGGGGTTTTGGGGTTTAGAGGGTTTAGGGTATGGGTTTGCAAACTTCGAGTGGGTCCTTTCTTCAAACTCAGTGCATGATTCAGCGGGACTAAAGGAGGAACCCTTATTCGGGACCTCAGGGGTTATTTAGGACTTTTTTGGGTGCTACTTGGGTGTACATATACATATATATATATATGGGTGATTTAGGGGAATAAGATTCAGGGTCCCTTCTAGGGGTCCCTCCTTTTACACCTTAAAATTGGATGTGCCATCTGACCCTCACTTTTGTCTCTTCTCCGTCCTTTACTGGGTTGTAGGGTTTAGGGTTTAGGTCTAAGACCATCTCCGGAAATAATACGAACCAGGGTTCTAGATCTCAGAAGGGGACCATCCAAAACCCTGCATAAGCCTATCCCCAAAACCCTGAACCCTAAAACCGAACCCTGAACCCTAGACCTAGACCCTAGACCCTAAACCCTAAACCCTAAACCCTACCCCGGGAGCGGAAAGAGGTTGTGGCAAAGGGAGCCTAGGGTTGAGGGTTTTGGGGGTTTAGGGTCTTAGGGTTACTTTGGGTTTAGGGGTTTTGGTTTTTGTGGGATCTAGGGGGCTTAACTTTGGGTTTAGAGGTTCGGGGTTTAGGGCTTAGGGGTTTAGGATTAAGGTTTAGGAATCTACGTAGGGCTTTGGAGGGGCTTCACTTTGGGTCTAGAGGTTCGGGGTTTAGGGCTTAGGGGCTTAGAATTAAGGTTTAGGAATCTACGTAGGGCTTTGGAGGCTTTTAAGGTATAGGGTCCCGGAGTTTCGGGTTAGGGCTTTAAGGTCCAGGATGCAGGGACGTAGGAAAGCAATGAGGGTCGAGGGCTTAGGCCCTAAACCTAAACCCTATATACACCCTAAACCCTATATACACCCTAAACCCTAAACCCTATATACACCCTAAACCCTATATGCACCCTAAACCCTATATACACCCTAAACCCTAAATCCTCGGGTTCAGGAGTCTTGAGGAGGAGGGTTTAGGGTTCAGGGCTGCAGGCGCTCTCCAGAACCTTTCACCCATTCTAGAGACGAGGTAAGTGCGGCTAAGGGGCAAGAACCAGCCTCGCGGGCGCGTGGCTTATGGCTTGGGGTTTAGGGCTTGGGGTTTAGGGTTTAGGGTTTAGGGTTTCGGGTTTAGGGGTCGGCTTCCAGTATTGGATGGCTCTGCATTGCTTGGAAGCAGCGTACATGTATGGAAATGCTGGCTTGAAGAAATCATTCTTGCCCCGTCCCACCCTACCCACCCAACCCTCCAATCCCCCCCCACCCTCCCCTCATAGAAAGCGATGTCAGCGGAGGGGAAGCAGCGCGAAAGCCACCACAAAACGAGGTCTTGAAGCCTTGCATTCCGAAATGCCGTAAGGAGCGCCAGACGCCGAAACAACCCTAAATCCTAAACCCTAAACCCTATATAAGGCCCAAACCCTAAACCCTAAACCCGAAACCCTAAACCCTAAGCCCTAAGCCCTAAGCCCTAAGCCCTAAGCCCTAAACCCTAAACCCTAAACCCTAAACCCCCAACCGCTGGCCGAGCATCCCAGGCCGTACATCATCCAACCACTTTGGGCACCTGGCTGATGAGTTGCACCGGGGTTTAGCGACTTCTCAGTGTAGTTGAAAAGGGGACTCCGTATGTACGCGTTATATAGCCTTCACAACTCAAGGGCCCATACATCAGAACCCTTTTAAAGACGGTAAGGAACCATATTGAGGGCCCATGAAACTACCCCTAAACCCTAAACCCTACACCCTAAGCCCTAAGCCCTAAACCCTAAACCCTAAACCGGACAACTACTATTGTCTAATTCACCCCCCCAAAAAAACAAGAATGATAATAATAAAAATAAAAATAATAATAATAATAACAATAACAAATAAAAAAATAATAATAATAATAAGAATATAATAATAATAATAATAATGATACATATATACATATATACATATAAAAAGACCGAGAAAACATGCTCTTCCTTATAAGGACAATATAGGAAAAATGGGGAGGTTGTTACGCATATAGTAGTTTAGGCACGGCAAGCCTTTGGAAGTAGGCACCATGCAGTCAGGTGCACTGTGCTGGCCAGATGAAAAAAACCAAGCGAAAGCAAAACAGGGCAGGGTCAGCTGGAGACAGTCTCCCTGAAAGATTCACCTCCCAAGGCCCCGGTTGAACCCTCAAGCCTGACATATTTGAATTGCGCAATCTACACCCTAAAGCCTAAACTCTAAACCCGACCCTAAACCCAAAACCCTAAATCCTGACTAAACCCATGTCTGGTACCCTATGACCCGCCTTGCTGGTCCGCGCTGGGCTGGCCGGCGTAATATTGGGGTGCGCCGCCATACTGGCCGCCATACTGGGGGCTGCCATACTGGGGGGTGCCGTACTGGGGGCTGCCGGCGTACCTGAAGGGCGTGGCTATGGCCGCTAGAGGGCTGATTGGTCGAAACTTTGGGATCACTTTGGGGTTTCGGGTTTAGGTTTTTGGCGTTGGGCTTTAAGCTTAGGGAGCAGCTCCCTATTCAATGCACATCGTTCGAAAACTACGTCAGAAGTCGCCGGCCAAGCCCGCAAGTACCGAGATCCCGACCCAAGCCGACCCTTCTCTGACTCTTGGTGGTTTAGAGTTTAGGGTTTAGGGTTTAGGAAGGTACGATAAACGCACCCAACTTGCTTCGCTTCTCGACTTGCTATGCTATATACTCTCTCTCTCTCTCTCTCTCTGACTCTGTGCGTCCACCCCTCGAAGCCCGAAGCCCTAAACCCTAAATCCTTAGACCTCAAACCCTAATAAACCCTAAACCCTAAACCCCACACGCCCCACCACTCTGAGGCTTCCACGGCCCGGCCGCCTGGGATGCAAGTGATTTGGGGCCTCGTGTTTATGAGTTTGGGGCTTTTAACCCTAAACCCTAAACCCTAAACCCTGAACCCTAAACCCTAAACCCTGAACCCTAGACCCTAAACCCAAAATTCGTGATTTGGGCTCGGGGCTTATTCGGGGTTCGGGGCTGAGGGGTGTTGAGTCTTGGGCTGATGACAGCTTTGGATTTACAGTGGGATGCTCAGGGTTCGGGCTTAGTTAGCGGCTCTGGTGATTTAGGGTTTGGGGTTTGGGGTTTGGGGTTTAGGGTTTAGGGTTTAGGGTTTAGGGTTTGGGGTTTAGGGTCCTGACCCCCTGAAGAAAGGAACTAGGGACTATGGGGGAGCCCGGGTTTAGAAGCTAGCCCTAAATCCCAAAGCGTAATGCCTGCATAGTATCAGGGCTTAGCTTCACACAGCATCCGAGCGTCCACTGGCTGGCCCACAACCGTAGCCTCTCTGCTGGGGAAAAGGGTGTAGAGATTGGGGGTCAGGGTGTAGGGAGTGGGAAGATGTTGGAGTGAGTACGATGTGTAAAGATACCGTATAAGAGTCCTTCCGGCGTTGTGTCCATCATATGGGTGGTTGTCAAAATGATGGTCCCTTTTTGGATCCCTATTCTAATACGGCTACCTAATATTTCGGGTACCCCAAGAGGGAGCATAATTCAGACAGCCACCCATATGCAAGTTTCGGAACAGCCGCAGTTGATTTTCGGCTTTGGGGTGTTAAGGTATCAGGATCTGGCTTTGGGGCTTTTGCAGGGGGATTTAGGTCGTTCGTGGTTTCGGGCTTTGAGCACGCTGCCCTCCCTCTCAGCCAGATGGGGATACCAATGCCAGCATCTTTGTGAGCCACCCCTCAACCCTAAACCCTAAACCCTAAACCCTAAACCCTGGGAGCAATTTGCGATCTAGGGCCTTCGAGGACTGTCATCATGCAGGGTCGGCACCTACTCCGGCGTCCCTGGCATTGAAGTTCAGAGACGGAAGTCCAGGCCCTAGTATAGGGCTCTTAAGGGAGGCGGGTTCAAAAGGGGTATGTAACCCAAGGTACCCGAATACTCCCTAAGGCTCCCTAGGCTTCCCTGAAAAATCCTTGAAATTGCCTAGGTACCTACTCCCACATGAACTCCCTTCCCTTCACAACCCCTGTAAGTCTAGGCTTCAGGGGCTGAATTAAGTCAGGGCTGAGGTGCCTTGAGCTCCTCCCAGAATCCTAACCACTAAACCCTGAACTCCGGGCGAAGGACCGCCTGAGTCAATAAACAAATACATGATACATACATGAGTTAAAAAAACATAAATGCACACATAGTCATTCATACATAGAATCTGGATATATATATATATATACACATATACATATATATATATATATATATAAGACATACACAACCCCTAAACACAACTTGAAGACCCAGGTCATTCCCACAGGGGGCCTGCACCACTTGCGCTTGCACCACTGGGGGCTGGTTTGTCTCCATGGCCCCAACGGCGCGGCGAAAAGTCACAGCGGAAAGCTAGGAGGCTGCGTTTTTCTTGGGGAAGGCAACGGCGGCAGCAGCAAGACCATGAGGTAGAGGGTTTAGTGCTTAGGGGTTTGGGGGTTTAGGGGTTTGGGGGTTTAGGGGTTTAGGGGTTTAGGGGTTTAGGGGCTTAGGGGTTTAGGGGTTTAGGGTTTTTGGGGTTTTGGGGTTTAGGGGTTTAGGGTAGGGTTTAGGGGTTCAGGGTTTAGATTTTAGGTTTTAGGGGTTTCGACTTTAGGGCTCAGAGGTAAAGGTCTGGTGTTTAGGGGGTTTAGGGGCCTAGCGAAGCCCCGTCAGGTTTAGGGCTTTTAGGGTTCGTGTGCGGCTTACGGGGTTTGCTTGAACAAATCCAGGGGCTCAGGACATCCGTATGGCTTGAGGTTTAGGGGTTTAGGGTTTAGGGGTTCGTATAGGGGAGCTTCGCGAAGGGCTTTTGGGAAGCCGCTTGCGAAGACGCCCTGAATGCTGAACCTCTAAACTCCTGAACCCCTCAACCCCTCAAGACTTGAGCCTGTAAGCTCGGAAGTCTGAATCCTCAAGCCTGAAGCCCTAACTAGCGCCCAATGCCCTAAACGCCAAGCCATAAAACCCTAGAGCCCAAAACCGTAAAGCTCTGGTACCTGAATCCTTGACTGACAAAACTCTGAAACCCTCTTCACCCCCTAAAGCTTACAACCCCCAACTGTAAAACCTTAAACCCTAAACCCTAAACCCTAAACCCCTAAACCCTAAACCTAAACCCTCAGCCGCGCAAGCTCATGCACCCGAGGTGACAGGGGCCCCGACGCTGGCTCTGGCAGCTCCACGACGCGGCCTCCGACTTGCGAAGCGCTTTTCTAGTGGGGGCTGTATATAGGGTTTAGGGTTTAGGGCTTAGGGTTTATGTTTTAGGGTTGAGGGTTTAGGGTTAAATAAGGTTTAGGGTTTCTAAGGTTTAGGGCCGTTTAGGGGATGGGGTTTGGTGTTTGGGGTTTGAGGTTTGCGGCTGTAAAAAGGGTTTAGGGTTTTGGGTTGAGGGTTTCGGGTTTAAGATCTAGGGTTGCGGGGTTTATCGCGAATTTGTAGGCTTTGGGGTTTAAGGATAACCATGTGAGCTCAAGAAGAGAAAAGAGCGCCCATTAACAACACTATAAGGCCGGGCGCCAGCACTCGTATTTTATGAGCGTGCGCCCGCAAGTGAAATACAAGAGCATGTCCCGGGATTCTCGGAAAAGAATCTTCTTGTGCCTGCGTTTTGGAATTCTACATTAACTTGCATTCATGTTTTGTTTGTGCTCTCCCGAAAGAATAAGAAACAGATATTTTTCTTGCGTACGCGCGCAGGACAAGAAAAAACGGGCAAGGACACTAAGAGTAATATAAACACAGGAATGCCGGGGATGTAAGGAACAAGGGAGTGCACAAGACACCTTTTGCAATTGAATATCATGCGTCACGAAGTTCCATATGACTTCAAATATGAAAAAGGAAATGCCATGGATGCAGACCGGCTACTGAGAAGCTGTGAAGTCCCTGCTCTTGCCGGCTTCAGATTTACACGGACTTTCGGCTGAGGGTCTTCAACCCTGAAGCCTAAACTTGGTCAACATTTGGGTACTTAGTTGTTGAGTTCATAAGCCCCCCCCCAAAACTGTACACTTTCAGTTCTATAGGGGACTGTAGTATCCCAAAAGGTGTAAAGTGTACTCACTCAGCTACTAAGCTATAGATCCGAAATAGTAGGATTCCCTGATAATAAGGACCCCAAAAAGGTGCCCCTAGTTTCGGAAACCCCCCCCAAAAAAGTGTACTTACTCAGCTACATAGGGTATATGGTTCATGGTTCGGCGGACCTGTGCAGGACGTGAGGCGGGTGTTGGGAGTCGTTGGACTCCCGGGCTTTGCCGCGTTTCAGGGTTCCCGAGGGCTCGAGGATTTGGAGTTTCGGGTTTTGGGGGGTTCCAGCCCTAAACCCCAGGCCCTAAACCCTAAACCCTAAACCCTAAACCCTAAACCCTAACCCCTAAACCCTAAGCCTAAACCCTAAACCCTAAACCCTAAACTAACCCCAAACCCGAAACGCTAAACCCTAAACCCTTAGCTAAACCTGTAGCATGTGGCGGGGGGGCGGGGGGGGGGGCTGAGGGCCTTCGTACTCCTTCAGGATTCCAACGACTGGGTACTTCTGGTCGAAGTACCTCTTCCTCAGAGTCTGGTCGTTGATTCTTGGAGTTTAGGGTTTACTAGGTGGGGCTTTTAAAGCCTTTGAAAAATATCAGTAGATAAGATCCTCTTAAGGCCAATAAGGGAAAAAATAAAATGTCCCAAAGCCCTACCTAGGTTTAGGGCTACGGGTTTCGGGTTTATGGCTAAGGGTTTAGGGTTGAGGGCTAAGGCTTTAGGAGAGTTGGTTTCAGGATGTATCTAGGGTGTCTTGTTCAGGGTCTCGGCTTACGGCTTGATGAGGGCTGCGTGATTGTACCATGCCCGGCCGAACTTGCTGCTCTCCACGTGCCTCAACCCTAAACCCTAAGCCCTAAATCCTAAACCTTAAACCCTAAACCCTAAACCCTAAACCCTAAGGCGCATGAGAGCTTTACTCGGAGGTTGTCGCAGCGTTCGAGCTCGGCAGGTTGCACTGTCAACAAACAAACGGTTTAGGGTTTAGGGTTTAGGGTTTAGGGTTTAGGGTTTAGGGTTTAGGGTTTAGGGTTTAGGGTTTAGGGTTTAGGGGCGCCGTCATGAGGACCCTGTAGTGACCGTTTGCATCATCCCACAAGGAGGTTCTTCCTTGTTTTTTTCTAACTACCCTGGGCGGATGCTTTTCTGTTTCGAGTTTAGGGTTTAGGATTTAGGGTTTAGGGTTTAGGGTTTAGGGTTTAGGACCCACTATGGTACATGTCTTGTGACCCAGCGTCGGGTTCGAGAAGCCTCTGCTACGACACCTGGGTGCTTCTCTAACTATAGCTAGTGTACCCCAAAAGGGCCCATCATTTACAGAATCTCCCACAAAAAAGACCACAACTGCGAGTGGTCGTCCGCAAGACATGCAGTCCATGACACAAGTGGCTGGGGTTTGAGACCTTGTATTTGCCGCCCGTGCTACTCATCAAACTTAGGACAACGAGGCGCTGACCTGGTCTTCGACATTAACTTTCGGATTATATAGAATGCTACAACACACACAAACAAACAAACAAACAAACAAACAAACAAACAAACAAACACACACACACACACACACACATACATATATATATATATGTACCTACAGATATCTGCATATATCTAAGATGTACGAACACGTCCATGTTGTACATAATGCTTTTTTCATGAAGATCAGTACGCTACGATGGGACGGGCTAGAAACTACAGTTATCAGTACAGTTTTAGTTGGTTAGTGAGTACCCCTAAACCCTAAACCCTATATAAACACTAAACCCTAAACCCTGAACCCTATACCCTAATACCTCCGAGTAGGCACTGCCGGCGCGCTGGGGTCTGCACCAGGCGGCCAGGGCTTTCAGCTGATTGTCGCTGAACTGGCCCATCTCCCAATCGAGCCTGGGTGTAGGGTTTAGGGTTTAGGGTTTAGGGTCGGTTAGGTGTTGGGATTTAGGAAGTTTGGAGTTTAGGGCGTTGAGGGTTTAGGGTCTGAGGGGCGTAGCGATTCAAGGACTTGCTGTGCTTTTGCTCATCGGATGTCTTATGTGCGTGACTTCGGGAGTTGCCGGGGCGTAGGGCTTCGAGGTGGTCTAACAACCTAAATGAACTCTGGCCCCAAGCACTATGCCGACATCCACCGTGTACACCCTGCACTCCCCACCGCTATAGGTACGTACACCCCACCACCACCCAAGCCCTCAACCCCTGTACCCGAATAAGCCCCAAACCCTAGCCCCAAACCCTAAACACTAAACCCTAAACCCTAAATCCTAAATCCGAACCCTAAACCCTGCACCCTAAACCCTGCACCACCCAACCCAGGGCCTGTTCCGGTCCTTCTTCTCCAGCGAGAGGGTCGCAAGGGCATAGGTGGCGTCGCTGCCAGCCCATAGATCTCCATAACCTGCAGCGAAGTGTCCACGCAAGGAGGTTTAGGGTGTAGGGTTTAGGGTTTAGGGTTTAGGGTATTCTAACTAGGGGTTTAGGTAGGGTTCATAGGGTTTAGGGCTGATTTTACAGGGTTTATGTAGGGTTTGTAGGGTTGAGGGTTCATTTCATAGGGTTCATATAGGGTTTAATATATGGGCCCTCGGGTTTGTGCGGGGTATAGAAGGGTTTATAAGGGTATATAAGGGTCCCCGTTTAAGGGCCCATATCAAGGGACCATGTAACTACCCTAAGAGGGGGTGTTCTCAGTAGAGGGCCGCTTGAAGCACAAAGAAACATGTGTGCCAAGTTCATGGAGCTGCTGGTTCGGGTCAGCGCAGATCTGAACGCTCCCCGATCCGAACAGGCAGCAACAACAGTGGGTGCTGGTCATGGTTGCTTAGACAGGACAGCCGCTTGCGCACTTCAGCGAGATCTGCTTTACGAATGGTCTATAGGGCTCTAAACCCTAAAAACTGAGACCTAAACCCTACACCCTAAACCGTTCAGAGATCTAAGTTGGCCCTTCAACTCCAGGGGAGGTACCAGTACCTCTGTATCTAATGGTATGGTCCCTTAATGGGTATATGAGGGGTATAGAAGGCGTCCGCACTTAAGGGCCCATACTAACGACCATGTAAATCATCGTAGACTGTAGGAGGGTCTTTGGAGCGGGAGGGCAGGGGCCCTCGGCGCATTTCTCCGTGGCGCACCCCTTCAACTCCAAACCCTTCCGGTGAGTTGGGTCATACGGTTCTAGAGTTTTAGGGTTTCAGGGTTTTAAGACCATAAAGCCTATAGCAACTTGCAGACCATTCATGACCCTGTAGGGCCTACACGGGTTTAGTAGAGGGTTTCAGCTTGTAGGTCCAGGTCCTAGGCTGTGT